AAAAAAAAAATAAAGCCGAAATTAATACTCGGCGTTCCACAGGAACCCCGAGTAATATGGCGATTGAGCTGTCCATTTTGCAGAGTTGCTTGTTTGATAATATCTGGCCTCATTTGTGAACACTGAGGCGTAACGGATAGAAAAACTTGTACTGTCCTAAACCACTCAAAATCCGAGGCGGTGCTCTTCTCTGACCGGGCAGCGTTCCTGTAAACGTCTTAAAAAAATGTTTTCTGTGCGCATAAAGCAAAGTATTCTGTGACGTTTCTAGATCCATCCCTACCAGTGTGATGTCGGCCTAATCCACACTTATCAAATAGACTTTAAAGCCGGATCAGTTTAAGTTGAACCGTGCAGTTTTTTCGCCCATGTAGATAACGCAACGCCACCAAGTCGAAGGCGTTCAATGAAAGCAGCTTAGAGAATAAAGCAGCTTTGTATGACCAAAATACAACATCTATCAAAAAACTTATAAATAGTTTTTTTGGGAAATGTTGATAATTTTGACAAGCACGTGGACATGCCGCACTCATTTGGCAGATTTCCACTGTTTACGTGTGATAGAAGCAGTGAATGGTAAAGTGTTTTGAGTGTAGGTATAGTCAGCATGCTTTTACTGAGATAACTGTAACTATAACTGAAGTTATAATTACAGATGCTCATGCACAAAACCTTTCTATAGTCTTTCTAAATCTTATTGAGTAGCACTGGCTTCGTTTGCAGTTTGTGAAAGCATTGTGAAAGTAGAAACAAGTTATTCAAACAACTTCTAAGAGTAACTGAATCAAGTGTAGAGTGATATCAAAGAGATAACAGCTTCTTGCCACTGCAGACATCGAACTATTATAGGTATATTTCTAAAATAAGGATATATAACTCTGAGGGAGTTTTATATATTCTCTAACAGGCCAATGCGCGTACCTAAGTACATCAATCAGATACAAAAATCTGTTCAACGAGTTGCTTAGTTTGTCGATTGACATAGTTTAATTTGGACTTCAGGAAGAATTTCAATCAACTTATGTTACACACGAAAAAATAAAAAGCAATTTGAACTTAACTAAACTAACATTACACGACCTGATAACGACACTGTTGCAATAAAGTCTTATCCTGTATTAACATCATTTATGAATACCTGTCGAAAATGGTTGTCAAATAAAATGGGTTAACTAATGTAGGATTATCGGTTTGAAAACCCAAAATGTCTGCTGTTTTTACAGTTCTCCGATGGTTGGAGATTTGCCCAATTTCTTTCTACTTGCTGGCACGATTTTGGCATGCATACACCTCAACTAGCTGCGTATGTTTCGCTTGATCGTTGACTTCAGTCACTTTGCTTCAAGCTATTAGCGCATAAGATGGATCTAGTATCAATCGCCTTATCAACATTTAACATTTACCTAAAATATTCAGTATGTTAACAGTAGAAAATACTAAAGGATTTTGTTCAAATTTGGACATTTTTGTCTTGCAAAACTTACAAGACTATATTCTTTCAGTAAGGAAAGTGACTTCGCAGAACATAGCCAAATATTTCAATTTAGAGCGCTACCACAGATAAAACTGAGGAAGTCAGACAGACGAACAGACAGATCGTCGGAACGACAAATCGATAGTTGGTCTGACGGACGGACGGACGGATTGACGTAAATAGTCTGACGGACGGACAGACAGTCGGGGTCGCTCGAACGGAAATGATTGCAACCGACTAGTCTGATGAAAATGCTCAAGTAGTCCAATCAAATCATCAACATTTTGCAGCCGTTTTAGCTTTGGTATCCCTGTGCTCTTTTAATAAGCACAGGAATCCCGATATCAAACGAAACACATGTTCCAAGGTAAAAACACCAAGAAATGACAAACAACTAATTGATAATAAACATTTCTCCAGTTCAGACTATGTATGTAAGTTTTGTCTGCCAAAGTAAAATAGGATCACGTGACCAAAATAGGCAATGCTGATTGGACAAATACCTTATAAATAATGCAAATGGTGCGTACCTCAAAAAAGTGTACTTTGCTAGTGAAATGCGACGTTAAGTCTGTTGACAATAACAACAGCGGAAATGAGAAACAAGCGTAGTTAAACATACATAACACTAGTCAAACCGAGACGTTGGGATGACCAGAATGCTCCCGACCCTACCAGTTTCCTATGAACGCATGGCGTCCAGGCTTCCTTGCAGCTTCATGTGTGTCTAATTGGTCTGACCTCGCTGATTACATATACATATACAACCAATAATAATTGCTTTCTGACGTCATGCCGAGCAATTAAGATAAATTAAGCGTCACTCATTATTTCATGGTATTTTTTAAACGTCTTGCAATCATTACATGGAATCTTAAACGCATTAGTTATTACAGCCTTGAGGGCTCATTTTGTCATGAGCTTGAAATGTGGAAAACAGGCTAGGAACATTGATTTTTGAATTCACTGCTCCTGTAGAACCGATATGTGAACTTATCAAACGATATGCAATTATACCACAGCTTGTTTTGAGACTTATGCACCGTTATGCACCTTGCTTGTCAAAATAACATTAATATAAGGACATACACGTACCGCGCAGCATGAAGCGATTCGAATACTTTATGCTAACAAATTAAAAGCAGGTTTGAACATATAATGAGCTAAGCATCATTGCAATCATTCCAGAACACTGTATGTTCAGATGAACAAATATTATCTTAAGGAACATCTGACGAGTTTATGTTTGATTTGCGGTTTCAATAACACTGTTTCAGTACCAAAAGTGCTCTACTTGGCTCTAATGATGAATATATTACTGAAAATCGTCTATTAATAAACGGAACAGTAGACGGGCAGAAAGAGAATCTTAACTTTTATGGAAAGGATGAAAATGATTGTCAACCCTTCTTCCCTTTTATTTCAATTTTGCTTTTCGTTTTGGATGATGTGTCGTATGGTAAAACATCCTTACTACAATTCATTTGAGAACTAAGGGGATAGATTTTGTCAGGTGGCGTTGCTTAGATAGCAGATCCTTTTGAAAGTTGCTAGCAATTGCAGCAATGATACAACGCAAGTTTTAGATCAGATTTGATGTTATTCGGTACAAATTAACCACAAATAGACAAAAAGAGGCATGCAAACACGAGTTGCTAGAGACAGTCTTCTACTATATAAGAATATTGTACGCACTGTTTTATAAGTCGATGTAAATTTTGCATAAAGCTAAAAACGGAAAGGAACCAAAAGGTCAAGCCAAATTGACGTGAAACCCCAGGAAAAAGAAAGCGAACACGAGATATGACAGGGACTGAATAAACTGAAAAAAATGGTGAATAACACAAACAAAGAATGAAACATTAAACTAATCAATTAATCGAGAATAAAAGGATGGAAGGGAGAAGAAAAAAAGAAAGAAAAGAGGAATCTGGGAAAAGGAAACCATTTGCAGGATATGGAAGACGATGCCAGACACTTGATGACAGTTTAGGTTTAAAAGGCTTTTTAAGAAAAGACCCAAATTGCCTGGAACCACACATCTTTTAGACTGAATTTCTGTGACAAAATTTGTGCTCTTGCTATTTTACATTTAGGAATATTTTTGCCGGAATGAATTAAGTCACAAAAGCTTTTGGTACTTGGTACGTAGGCTTGGGAACATCAGGTAACATCCCATGGGTTAAAATTACGCCCTGTGATGTTTGAAAACCCGCCTTCAAAATCAAAAATAATCTAAAAAAATATTCATTGACGTAACGGAACCTTTGAAGGTTTAGTTGTGAAATGCATACATGTAGATTTTCCTTGGAATCTTAGCTATGTTCCACTATATCGACGTCCTTGTTCAGTAGTAAAGTGGCTCTCGACAATAATGCAGTGTTAGCTCAGGTCAGACGAAATAGTTTATGACAATAAGCTGCTCCTTCATTTAGCTTAAAATCCTCATTTCCATTTTTTCTTTCAGTGATTGGAGTGAAGAATCTTTACTTACTTTCTTGAACTCGAATTCTTTACCACTGAATTTGAAAAATATATCATAAACTTTTTGACTATGAATTTAGTGAGCCAATTTGGAAGAATACATTTGATATTTCCAAAGTTATATTTCCATAAACCTGTGCAGCATTATACATATTAACATTAAGATGTCACTATGTTCTGATAGGAGTGAAGTTGTAAGGTCGTCTGCGTGTACTACGAGTACGAGTCTTTGGGTATGCAATATTTTAACCCCCTCGTTAGTACTTGAAGTATGTGTAAAATCTCTATGATTATAATCCGTTTCTTGGGATTAAATAGAGCATACCCCACAAGACGACGTCTTAGAACCCAGACGGTATAGGAGCTCATTTGAGCTCTAACTGCAGCACTAACCACGATTGACTTACCTTTATAATTGAAATCTTTGTTGTTTTGTCAGTTTTCTGTGAAGGAAAACAACAAGAGCATAAATCCATTGCCTCAAAAGGATTTTTTATGCCATTGTTATTGTTTCTTTGTATTAGTTTTGTTAGTTTTGGGTTAAAACACGACGAGAATCTGAAATGCCACCAACATTGTCAATAATAATTGAAAGTGGTAAAGTCAAAGTTGATCGATGTTAAGTAGAAAGCTATGTTGAAGCTGGTTCAAAAACACGTAATGGCTCTAGGGTAGACCAATCATTTATAGGAAAATTTAAGAGCTTTTTATTCTATTTTACACGTAGTTTAACTAACAGAAAGACTTTTAGGCAATGACAGATCACGTGACATTGCCTTCCTCAGGCAGCCAAGGCAAAACAAACTCCAACAAACAAACAAATTACTCATCATGATATCAACATCCTTTAAGATATTTCGAGCATGCATGCCTGGTAACTAATTATGTAATCTGTTCCTCCTTTTTTACTAATTGACGACAAATTGGCCTATTGCACTCGAAGTGTCATTATTTTACTTGGAACATTATTTATTTATTTTAAATGAATAGAGACTAAATAATCATCAAAACAGGAAATTTCACGTGAAAAAAATCAAAAACCAAGTGAACTTCGCGACTAAATACATAAATTAGTCCATTTTCACCGCTCGACCCCTTTTAAAATGTCAGCTGACTGCCGAGTTAGCCTCAAATAACAGACTGATAACTTGTTATTAAGGTACCTCCTTCAGCTTATCGTGATATTCAATTTGATAGCGTTTTATTTACTTTCTTCTACATCATTAATAGTTTCAAATTGCAGACGATAACATTGCTTTTTTATCTTCTGTGTTCTCTGATTTCTCTTATCAGGTTCATGAACTTATTAAAAATAATATTACTATCTGTAGATCAGTAACAAAGTCACGCGTAATCACTACTGATAGAAATGATTAAACACACTTGAAAGTTAATTGTTTCGTTTAAAAGTTGTGGCTGAAAATAAGGACACAAAAGGGGAAAGCTCTATCTGGTCAAACATGGACTATGAATTCTAACGAAGTCTATCTAATTCAAAATTTGGTTAAGTTGAAACATACCAGTGAAAAGACAGAAAATGTTGCTATCAAACTCAACGGAAATTCAGGGGCTTTTTTACAACTTGCTTCTGGGGATACGTGAGGTACTCTTCGAATAATGTGTAGCGTCCGCCGTTTTGTTAACAAAGAAGGATGTGAAATCTAATAGAGGAAATAATTAATCATTCTGAGAATCATTTTTTGCGCATTTGCAGAAATGCAAGGAGAAAATGGCGATACTACTCAAAAAAGTTACATYTCAAATGTCCCTGGATTTCACAGATGGGTGTTGCACTAAACGCTGCATAGGTGTTGCGGTAACGCTGCAACAATGACGTTGCGTAACAAAGACTATAAAATCGCGGAAATCAAAATCTACCAATTGGTGGAAGCATTGATACGTGATCAAATTGAATGGCGGCCTATGCAAAGACSAGCCTCGTCCACAGGCCCTGTCTTCCTTTATAAGGACCTGGKGACGAGATTGCACAAATGAAAAGATAAAAATGGAAATAGGTCTTGACGAGGGAATGCCTCTAGGCAGAAAGTTGTACAATATTTCCCTTATACTTTAAGCACGATCTCTTGCGATGCATGAAATTGCAAATATCAACAGAGGCATAACGAAAATGAAAACACGGGAACAAGGTGACGCCAAAAACCAGAAATCTGACTTGATATTAACTGTGCTTGCGTAAATCAATTGTTAAAAACGTAAGAGAGCGTAACAATCGAACCGGGTTTTTGCTCACACTTGATATCTTGCGTTAGGAGAACGTATATCATAGCGATGCACGAAAAACCCTTTGACTACAGCGCAGGAAACGCAAGCATAATCATTCATCTGATATTGAAACTTTGCTTTTTAGTGCGATTCATTAGACAAGGTAGAGGCACAGAGATGCCTAGTAAGTCTTGAAGTTCAAGTGGCGGCATTATGATCATTTTAATGTGAACTGTCAAACTCAACCAGATGCTGTGAATATCATTTTTATTTCGTCCGGTGCAAAGTACTTTTAGTTTTTTTCCTTTTTAGCTTTCAAACTCTTTGAACTTGTAAAGTTGATTTCAAAGTACTCCAAGCAGTACCCCTAAAAGTCCTCCATCTTTGCAATCACTGCGACCCTGATGAATACGGCTGCGTATCAGACTGGTACTATTAAATTGTACGGACTTTTTAAATCCCGTCCACTACTCACTGTCGGCCTTTAAGCATTGCTTAATTGTTCAATTCACGTGAGGCAATCATGACCTTGGAATATGGCGGTGCATGAGCTCCTACCAGCATCTGCCCTGGACTAAATGATGATAGATCTCTGCCAGGGAGTTAAAAGAACCACTTGACTATTGATTTTTAATGGCTTATAGTTACTCAAGGAATCCAAAGAATGCATGTTTAGGTTCGGTCTGCCTTGGCACGCGCGCCGACCAAATAATGSCAATTGAGGATTTCTTGAGCTTGTGAAGTTCCGAGTGTGCCTCAAGAGTTCAAGGCAAAGACACATGTTAAAAGATGATGATTGGATGATATTCATTACTCCTGCGTGCAGTTCAACCGATAACCCTAGACCCGTCTGTATTTCGAGTAAATCCCCCCCATGGCGGTAGAGTTTGGGTGTCCGCAAGAATCTTATCAGCCCGTAATCAAACGACGCATCTTYACCCAGAATCAATTTACGTCTTCTTTGGTTTTTGGTTCCGAGAGGCGCGAACAGTTATTAAAAAAGTTGTCGAAATGCGATCGGGATTCTAGGATTTCTGTTTCTGATAGTTACACGGTATCGTGCGTGACACAGTCAACAAACTCTTCACAAATATCAGCTTTCTGATCCTCGTGGTATTTCTCACGATTCTAAATTCGGACGCACATTTTGATGCACTTYRAAAAGGTACAATGTACAACTTTTGGAAATTGTGMATTGATAAAATGCATTATAAACAGAAAGCAAAAGGTGGGCATATGTCAATTAAAATAAAGGAATCCCAACGTTTTCTTATGGGACCTTTTGGTCGTTCAATTTTATGATTTTTGTGGTTCCCATCGTGTCCTTCACCACATCATCACARCGATAAACCCTGCAAGCCTGGCAAGCCTGGTTTTCCTATCYCCGGGRGATCAGACCTCGCAGTCACATGTAATCTGTTCATTAAATAGAATTTCTTTCTTTACAATGACAGAAATTAAATAATTCAGGAAACCAWTTGCGCCAAGTTGATCGATTGATTGAGAAAGTAAAGCCCTCAATGGGAACAATCAGTTGTTTTCTTAACAATTTGATCAACAAACACATAGACATTGTGTCGACTTTAGATAATGTCTAAGAGACTTGGGTTATTTACTCGAACTAATACAATGATTATGCTCAATCGACTATTAATCTCTGAATCATTTACTGTCACAAGGATTTGGAGCTGATATAAAAAATAAATAAAATCTACAACAACAGATTCAATCAATAATCACCTCGTTGTGAACTAGGTGTCATAAATWCACTGCCTCTTCTATCAATAAAAGTCAACAAGTACAATACGACAATACTGGCCTCTGTTGCTCTCATTAAGGGATTGATCTGTTGTAATTACTCTGATATCTCTGCCCTACTTGCTAGTTTAGYATCACTAGAAAGCCTTCTTAGTGGACTGATCATCAACACATGTGATCCTATAATAAACTTATAATTCAGATTTTATACAGAAAGTAGATCGAACTTACCTCAAAGTTGGATCGCAGCAAAATTCCGTCTCTGTCAACTTGTTCCAACTAATATACTTTGCTAGAGTTTATAAATAACCTTTGTCTTCCACCTTGACAATAGTAACCAAAATTGAATWCCAATGAATACAAGGCAGTCTTGGAATTGCTTGTGCAAGAATGGTGTAAAGTTTTCAATGAATTGTGAGATGCGTTATTGTTCTGTGTTGAGTCGTGTCAAGCGGAATCACAGGGTCCCTYACTGACCACCTTTATGGAAACGTTGGCCCTATTGCCACGCAATCTCCCGTACGTCAACAGTAAGCGGCTAAATGTTTGGTCTATCTCAGTTAGAATCTAGCGTGCTTGATCTTGGGTTAGTCCGCGATGAAGTCTACAGACCTTTMGGGTGACTCTTGTGCTTATTTCGGATGTGCAGTGGAATAGCTCGATTACTATCTCTTTTGTATTTTATTCTTGGCTAATTGACAGTAATCGCTTGAAGGAATACGTGATAAGGGAGACAATTGATGGTATTCGATGACTTGCCTCTCAACGAACCAATCACSATGCGCGCTTGTTTTCGTACTAGCGCAAGTTCTTCGGCCGTGACACTGAGAAGACGGATCTTTTACAGACCTTTTGGTACTTAATACAWCTGTTAGTATCTATTCGTGTAAGATCGGGATCTGTTACAGACTTTGTGGGGTGGTTGCGTGCTGCATTTATCGACTATTGCAGGCATAGTTTATTAATACATTAAGAGACTTGTCGCGTTACTAGATGGTTTGGTTGTCCAAGCAATGSYTATTTGTTGAAGCAACATTGGCACTTTTGTTAGCTCTTAGTTATGTCTCAGTAGTATGCCATTAAGCCTGCTGCTCCATAACAGGTCGCGTTGAAACAAAACTCGCCATTTACATCTGTCAAAGTGTCAATTGTACAGCTTCTTGATATTGGGACGCGATAAGATCTTTATCTATCCTTAGTATTAATTGATTGTTAGGCAATCCATATACCGGGCTAGAAAAACAAACATACAACCTCTACAGGAACAAAACATCTTTGAATGGTCCAAAGAAACATAAAGCCAGGGACACCAGTCAAATTTTAAAAACCTTTAATACCTTTCATCAACTTTGAGCTTTAAATTGGATTATGTAATTTTTTTTCTTTCCTGATGTTTTCACCGAGTAACAGGCAGTAACAAGAGCAATATTAAAAACCCAAACTCGGAACTTTTTTCATCGTTTTGATTCACTTGTGTTTATAACTCAAAAAGTGTAAAAGATATTATTATACAGCACTAGTAACGCAACCACGACTAGAAAACTATATATAAACCACATTTTTTATATCTGAAGGTCAAGAACAAAATCATGTGGGATTCAGGATTTAAGTGCYGCATTTTCTCCATATGCTCGTCACGCATAACATCATTTATAAATTTGGCTGCACGGCCTTGGGCATCCGGACCGGCTGCACCATGTCGTCTTAGTCAAGGCCCAAGGCCAACCTTGAAGAATTCCCAATAGAATATCCTGCATTGTCGAGTTTACTATTATTGTTACTTCTTTTTGTTAGTGAATGTTTTTTCCATGAACTGGATTAGCGTAACAAGAAAAACATTTCTTCTAAGTCTATTAGTTCTCCTGTTTTCAAGATCTTTTTTTGTTTCGTCAAAATTTCTAAAAATTTGAATGATTAAAACACGTTTTTTTAAAAGAAAGWTGTTATTCTCTTGTTTTAGTAATCTATCCTGTTTTAGATTCAAATGAAACAAACAGGAACAGATTGAGGAGAACTATTAAACCACAAAATTTGCCAAGGGTTCGTAAGGTCGCAATGCATGTAGCGGCTTAACTCTCAAGTGAAATTAAAGGTTATACACAGTTTTATTAAAAAGTAATTCAATTTACTAGAATCACTACACACTGYTGGAGAGGTGTCAGAAATAAAGACCGGTCGAAACACTGTACTGTATAACTGCTTTGAGTTCAAGAACACACAACTTTATCGATACTCGCCCAGTGC